ATATATATATATATTCAGCCATCTTTATAGATCACATTTGTTAAGTTCTGCTCTTTTGTTTTCTCACTGCAATATCACCACTTATAAAGCAACACATACAGCATGACCATTTGTGTCCATTTATTAAAATTACCAATGTGTTAAATTTTTAACATGTTACAATTAAGTTGTTAGTTTTGATCAAGTAATTAATTGGTGTGGTAAATTATGAACACTCTAAAATTGGTCATTAAATTCTGTAAAGAATGAACATTGAAACTCCCTGTAACACATACTTAACACAAGCAATTTGTTACAAGTTTGTTTATTCAAGCTGCCCAACATAATTTATTTTGGGTTCTAGTTTCAGCCTTCTTTTATTCTTTAGCATCTGAAAGCTGATGTACTATTAGTTGTGAGGGTAATAAAAACAGTAACGTTTGATAAATTTGGCTGAGCTTTTGTCATTTTGAAATGTTTTATGTGTTTATAAAACAAGGAAGTCATGTACCAGTAATGAGACAAGCAATTTGTGTTGTTTTGGATTTAACACCAAATACTTTATATAATATAGTGAATTTTTTTTTACAAGAATCTGGAAATTAAAGCTGAAAGTGGACGAGCATTCCTACATGATGGTCCCAATGCAAGTTTAAGCCCCACCCCTCCATCCATATTAAATCAGACTGTTACCTCATTTCAAAAGTAAAATTATGCTGACATTATGCTTTTAGGTTTTGACCCTTTTTGATTCATTTAGCCTTTTTTAGGTGTTGTATTTTCAAGTCTTCATGTTTCTAATCCATTTAGCTGGAAGCCATTTCAACATGTGACATCATGATTGTGTGTGGAGAAAAAGGTGGGACTTAAAGACCCACATTCCTAGTGTGCAGACTTGTCCTAGAAACACAGCATGACAGCTTCCATTAGTGGGAACATTTGGTTTGGTATTAGAAGACATGTTGATGGTTGATCACTGAAATTTACTTCTCTTCCCTGCGGTCCCCTTCAGTTGCTACAGAAAAAAAGTAGCTCTGCTACATAACAGAAGAAGAGTTTATGGGAACAGCACTCTTCATACATTGGCATAACATCAGTTTCAACTTTTTTGGGCCTCACATAGTTTAAATTCATGGCATTCTAAACAATACTGTTATTTTTGGATACCTTTGTATCCCATATAACAATTTTACTGCCCAACCCTATCATGGTGACAAAAAGCATTGACAAAGGTTTATACCAAAATAATCATTTCCGATGATTATTTGATGCATTTGGATGACAGGGGGTTTGCCTTTTTTCTCATCATTTGCTTCAGTTCCTCCAGGTTTTGGTTGTGCCGCAGCATGTTAATATCTTTTGCTGTCAATCTAAACAGTGCCAGGAGTGTTAGGTATTTGGTTTAGTGTTGTGCTTTTTGGTACATGATGTGCTCTGTTGTTGTTGCTGTTGTTGTCGTTGCTGCTGCCGCCCCAACTTTTCTGGAAGCCCGCAGAACTCAATGTAGGTCCTTGCATTTTCCTCACACTCACACTGCATGGCTGCTCTCTCACTTTAATGATTTGTCTCTCAGAGGAAAAGATAACGTCAGTCATAGGGGAAAAAAAACATGGAAAGTCAAGCTGTCTCAGCAGCTCCAAACTGTTGCTGCACCCTCAAAGAGCTCAACAAGTTTTCAAACTAAGCTCACAATAGGATGAGTTTTTCCAGGCATTTCTATGTTAAAGTGAGTGGAATGAGTGGGCAGATCAGACCAGAGACCTCTGAAATGAAAAACACTTCTGGCTGATGATGAATTATTTAGTGAGCCCTGTCTGCCAAGGCCAAAGTTAAGGACTTCTGGTTTGAATTGCCCCACAATGCAATGCTAAAGCCAAACGCAAAGAGAAAGTCTTAACCTGCCTGGTTAAAACTGGTTGACCAGAACATTTCTGAGCGACACTGATAATCCAATAAAGAGACATGCAACTACAACAGTCATTATTTTATCAAAATAATCCCATATGTGCTGGTGTGCTTCATATGCCGGATCAGAGTTTTATTTTCCTCTAAGGTCACCTACATGCCTGTTTTCTTCATCAAACTATGAAAGCTGATGTGATGTATTTGTTTTCTTGTGTGTCCCAAAATTGAGCCTGACAATAATTATGTCCTTGTCTAGCAACTGGATAAAAAGCAATTCACTGCAGTTTTCGTTCTAAATTTACATTGATTAGCAAAATCAAGCACGAAATTCTGAAGAAGTCTTACAACGAGATGCACCAATTTTGATTCACACTAAAGTTGAGACAATAAGACAACAGACATAAACAGAAAGTATGTAAATCCTAAGAGATCACAATATGACGGTATATAATTAGGCTTTAAGTCTTCAGTCAGCCATGGTTGAAATACCCTTTATTGTTAAACTGATGATCTATAAAATGTTAAAATTATCAAATAACATTGATCATTAGGTAATTTAGGCAACATGACAATATTTTATGCACTAGTTAAGCAGAGCATTACTTAAGTGCATGATGAAGTAGGGGTGTCAAACTCATTTTCAGTGAGGGCCACATGAGCATTATGGTGGCCCTCAAAGGGCCAGTTGTAATTAAATTCTATGTTTTATGTTTAACTTCGACTAAAAATGAAACATCACATTTCTCATCTTATTGTTATGGCTGTGCTCCCTTAACAAACAACTGAGCTCTATGTGGTACTTTGTGCTTAGAAACAGAGTTTTAACTCGTCCTTTTATAAACACTAAAAGTAGCAGGTACAACTGATCTTAAATGTGAAATAAATTATACAGAAAGTGGCAATCCAGTTTAAATTGATGATTTGTATGTGCAAAATTCCCACTTCGCAGTACAACTGGGCTGCAGCAAATTCATGGCTACTAACCACTTTGAAACCTGTGCACCACCTAGTGGTGGGATGCTGTCATTTTGCAGGTAAAATAAGCAAAATGCTTTAAGGGAGATGTAGTTTATGGTCAATGCTGACTTTAAAGTGAAAAATGCAAACTATTAAATGAAAATGTAAAATTGTGTTAATGTTTTAMTATAACCATATGTCTATGGTTCTTTTAAAACAATACATTTTTGAAGCTCTGGCAGGCCACATAAAATGCTTTTGAGGGTCATAATTGGCCTGCGGCTCTTGAGTTTGACACATGTGCCTAAGACTGCTTTTATCGTAACTTTCTTTTTTTTCCCTTGTATATTTGTATTAAAAACTGGTGAGTTATGGCAGCATTTTAATTCAAGAAACATTTCTTAGACTTTTACTCCAAAGCAGGATTTGATACAGACCACAGGAAGATGTTATTTTTAAGAAAAGCAAGAAATTGTGGCTTCTATTCAGTAACAAATCACTAAGTACAGACGTCTGCCAAGGGTAGAATGAAACATACTATAACTCTTCACTCATTCCATCAATCATTTAGATTTTTAGGTGATGTCACACCAAAATTTTATATTGTCGCACAAGCCAAGTAATTATGTTTTACCTGCCAGTGAGTATGAGCATGAGTGAAGATTTTTGAGTTTTCAAAAAGTGCTTGAATTTTTTTGATTGCATGGAAACAATGGGAAGTTAATACAGTATTTAGGTTTGATTGTATCATGAAATCCAAAATCCTCCTCTTTTCATCCATTCTTTCTCCATTTTTTCTTCATTTCCTGCAGGACTTTTTGGGTCAGATGTTCTGTACTCTCGGAGAGATTGTTGGATCACCAGCCAGTCGACTGGAAAAACCACTGGGGTGAGTAAGAGTTTAATGCAGCTTTCTCATGCCTCCCGATTCCGAGTGAGATTCAGAAACAGTTTGTTGCACTAAAAAAGAAGACGGTGGTGGATAGTATTGCAAACAGATTCATCTATCATCTTTTCACTGAAATGCTCCAACAGGTTTACATCAGGATCTGAAATTTTGAAACTTTGCTTCATTTGCCCTGAGAGATTTGCAGGAAAAAAAAAGAGATGCTAATTTTGTAGCAAAGAAATTGAGTCAGTGACACAAAAAAAGGGGAGAAAAAAGGATGGAGGAAGAAAAGACACATGGGTGATTAAGACCAGAGATGTGAAGAAAAGACATTGACCGGGCAAAAGAAGACTGGGAGTGAGGAAGGAGACAACACGTCTACAGATGTTTCCCACAGATAATTATTGTCATTAGAGAAAAGGGGGAAGTGCAGAACAAAACTACCCAGATTACAGCTCGTCCCTTCCGCCTGAGCTCTTCCATGTGCAGAATGGAGCATTAATGTACTGTCCTGTCTGTCTTTTTACATCTGTCAACCATCATCAGCTGTCAGCTGGACAAGTCAGGTGAAGAAATTTAAAAGCACCACTCTTACTCTTGAGTACATTAATTTTGAGACCAATATAACTTTTTTTGTTTTAAGATAAAACTGTTGGACATATGTGTGAAATCTGTGTCCAGTAATCTACTTTTTAATTTATCATTTATTATTATTACCAGTTTATATTACTTAACATTGTTTAACTTTAGTTCTTCTTACATGTTCAGCAAAATGCAGACTGTTTAAATTATTTGGAACATTGCAGTAATGCATGAATTTTTTTTATAAAGTTGGAGATATATTAAATTCCTGTTCATGTTTAGCAGAGCTCATTTAACAACCTTGTTAAATCCCCATGTTCATGACTTAACTACATCCTCATCTGTTAAAACTCCCTCGGGTTTCTTTCTGGCACAAAAGAGTGTCTTTTTTACCTGTAGCCATGACTTTCTGCACAGATTTTCCAGAAGAATATGTCAAGTGTCATGAAGCTAAATTGGTTCATACAGTAAAATGGGGGGAAACTATTGTGGGCAGGATGTGTACAAGTGTATTCCACGTATGATTCATATATGGGTTAAAGTCAACTAAAATTCAGAAAAAAAAAATCAGACCAAGGATTTTATTGGCTAAAAATGAAATTAGAGTTGCACATATTGTCTGACAGTTAACATAATGTCAGAGTTATTAGGGTTATATCTGGCAAAGGTCATTAGAAGAGATTAAAAGTCCTTAATGTGGATGAACTGTTCGTTCTATAGGGTGAACAGGAAACAAACCGTATACAAACATATAAAGTCTACAGCTGTGTATCTTCATCCAGCTGAGGGGGTAAATTAAATCCCACTGTGCCGAGGTTGAGCTGAAAACAATAATTTTGCTTTGCCTATTCTATTAATTGGTTTGCAGCTGGTGTTCTCTTTGTGGGGTTTCTCTATGGTTTTTGTACCTGTTGTGCTGCATTGTTACATTTTACACAAAGGCATTGCTACATTATCTTTTATGCAGCAGACACCTGTGTGAACATTTGCCATTTTATAATTTGCAGGCTGCGTCTGTAATTAGCTGTACTTGATCATAAATCATAAATGTTAGAGTTTCACAAATTAACATGTTAAGGAGGAAAGACTCAACTCTTCTGTGCATTTTTGAAAATAACATTAAAAACTGCATAACTCCATAAGTTTTAATAGGATGACTCCTAGCAACTACCACCCAAAATTTTGGATCAGTATCTGTAAATTTTACTCCGTTATAGCCATCATAGCGTGATATCATGAAATAAAAAGTTAAAAGAATGTTGAGTCTATTGTAGGCACATTTTAGAATGAATGTTCACACAATGAAAGGTGATAAAATTGCCAAAAATTATAGCTCTGACAATTGTACTGCTAATAATATTAGTCAGATTTATGTACAAARCCATAAACTAAACATTTATTATATTAACACACAGAGCATAAAAGGATATATGTTCTTGCTCACTATAATCAAACACTTTAAAAATGTGTCTCTTTTCCTCTCTTAATCTGTGTGTTCTCCTATCATTGATAGATTTTGCTTAAGAAGATTTTAACAAATATAAATGTGCCCTAAGCCTTTATATACAAGTTTAAAATCAAACCATTTCTTTCTGAGCTTAGCATTTATTTGTCAGGGTGAGAAAGGGAAAAGTAAGGTTTGCAAAACAATTTATTTTTACTTTGAATCTGCGGCTGAGAGATAACAAAACTGCTTGCCAAATTGGATTCTTATGACAGCCTTTAATCTGTATTTAAAGGATGTTTCAAAAAAAAAAAGTTCAGTCTAGTGCTGGAAACCTCTGCGACCTTAATCTAAAACAAAACTGCCATAAAACCTTTATACAGTTTGTTGTATGCAGGGCAAGTCTGCTTTGAAAATGCCACCATACAGTACTGCTTTTATAAAAGGTTTATTTCTGACTGACACAGTTTCATGAATATGATGTTCTGATTCACTCTTTCAGGTTAAGAAATTCGGTGGATATATGAAACCTTTTTCCACATTCCACATTACAGATATGAACCCCCTCGTGTGATTGCCTGTGCATAGTGTTTTCATATGGATCAGTAGCTTTGTAAGTCATACTTGAGAGGCTGTATGGCGCATTTGTTTTCTCTTCAGTGAGGGAAGTCAGTGTTTCCCCTAGGGAATTGGTATTGGCAACGGGGGAGCTACTTGTTTTATAAAAACATAAATTTACGTGTCTCACCTGCAATTATGGTAATAAATTTACACATACATGAATATTTAATTGCCTAACTACATCCTAGTTAAGGACTCCTCATGATAATTATCAATAAAATTATTATTGATAAAAAGTGATCAGAACTGTGTGCAGCAGATGATCTGAGTCCAGAGTTCTCAGTTTGAAACCTTCTGGAGCTCTTCTGTGTGACTCTAGGTGTGACAGTTGTTTGTCTCTTTTGTGTCCCTGATGGAGACTGGAGACCTGTCCAGGTGTCTCTGGTGAACTGGAGACC